TGTGGCCATTTAGCCCTGAGGAGTTTTGGACCGCCCTTGTAGATGGGAAAACCTTTTTTGCATACATTCAGTTCAACCACAGCGGAGCTCTTTTACCAGACTTAGCAGAATTCCTCACTCCAAGCACTAGATGTCGTTCAGCATGGAAAATTTAGAAGTGGCATCGAGAGGAGAGTTTCGTGAAGCGCGATTTCATCGTCGTAGTCCAGAACGCTAAGCAGCTCAACAGTGAAGGAGAAAGTCAAACCGATTGTCCAAAGGGGCGCTAAATAAAAAAGACCCCCATCGGTTTCAGTATGGTATGAGCATATGGTGGAGTTTGCATAGGAAAGAGAAAACTGCGATTGCGGACCGCGCTATTCGGAAGGAAGGGCTTCTGTCGTGGGGAAGTCGGGAACTTGTCTTCAACGCACTGGACTGCGGACCTATAGTGTAGTAGCGCCCAGCTTTGCTCTGAATCTGTTTGGCCGTCAGTTCAGGGTAGCTTATAGTGGTTTCGGTCGTAATCAGATCTTTTCGTTCCGATCTCGGTTTTCTGATAGTGGTTTTGATGGCTGAGGCGTATTCTGCTTTTTTTCCTTCGGGACCGCTGTTCTTCTGTTCATGGGTTTATTGGAACATCAGGATTCGCTCTTTTTTGTTTCTTCTTTGGTTGTCTTTCTTGTGCCTTCAGTTAATATTGGTTGATTTTGAGGTGTTCCCTACAATCTTTTTCGCAAGTGCATACAAAGGAGCTCACTGGAAAGATGAAAACTTTATTGATCTTGATCGATACCTCCGAAATCACATGTCATATGTGAGGCTTTACAAGGCACATAAAGATGTGAGTTACGTCCCTGTTCTTAAGGATCCTCACATTTGCCAGACGCGAGCGGTCGCGCAGCGCGCTCACGCTGCGCAACCGCTCGCGTCTGCTTATGTATTTTCGTACTGCTTTCTTTTTTCATGTTTTTTTTCGTAGTTGGAGCATTTGTGCATTCTTATTGCATTGACTATTTCTGTACACTCACCGTTTTGCAGAGCATCAATGGGCGTGTAGGAGGTATAATTCTTACTGGATGGCAGCGATACATGCATCGTGCGCCATTATGTGAGCTGCTGGCGATCTCAATTCCGTCTCTGGTCTCTGATCTCGTATATATCCAAGATGTTACACGTAGCCGCGATGAAATGTGGAGTTATGTCAGGGTTAGTGGATATTTGTTTGCTCGGAATGATGGTTAGTGCACTGATGGAATGATGGTTAGAGGCGCCGCATTTCAATAGAACGATCTTTTGGATCAAGTTCCTCCCGAGTCAATCGAGCCTTGAAAGCGTCAGGGAAAGATGAATGGTGCAATTCACGCTGGTCCTGGGCGGCAAGACACCCAACCGGTGTGTATACACCAACGCTATCCTCCTTTTCAGTCTGTTTTTGGGATAAGAGACGCACCAAATTGAAGGGCTCAATGGTTAGGTATCTCCGCCCATACGATCAAACTTGCGATCTGAACTGCGATGTTATTGGTTTTCCATGTGGCCATGCAAGGCCTGACGGTAGACAGGATTCATTAGAACTGCAAGTTATTGCCTAGTAACGGGAAGGGTCTTCTATATATTAGGTTGGTCGAAAAGTCCTGCGACACTTTGACCAATTTTTCGGACTAAATTTTCAGTCACTAAAAGACATCTCCAATCGACAAGGTTATCACCACTAAGGACTAGGACTAGTGCCCTTCTTTTGCACAGCTTCTCATTTCCATTCTTCTAGAACTACGGCAACTATGATAAGAAGAAGAGGTGGACCTCATTTTTGAAGATAGAACGTTGATTCGGAATTCTTTGCCTTCTTAACGGATGAGGGTGAGGGATCAAAAATCGGTAGTAGTTAGGACTGCTTAACTTATAATAACTGGGTAATGGTCGCATCTTTTGGTGTGGCCTGATCTTAACATGCGGTCTCGCAATGCCGAGCGCTAGAGAAAAATTGAGTATTTTTGAAGAATTCAAGCTTGACGTCATCCAGTGTGTTTCATGGTCGCGTTTAGAGAGCACGTGTAGCCGTACTGCGTTATGCTAGTATCCAGAGATACCGCTTTGAAGTCCCACCAATAACCTACTGAAATCTTTTCCCATGCACATGTGCTTTTGGCTGTGCAATCTACTTTTCTGTTCGAGAGATCCTGCGAGGAACATGTGCAAGATGTACGCAAGGACCCCACCACTCTCTACCAACCACAAGATCTCACAAAAGTTCCTCCAGTGTGTACAAGGAAAAAAAAAAACCCAGTCACGGTCATACGGTATGACTTGTCAGAGGGGTTCAACTCATGGGGCATCCTTCATAAAAATTTTTTCCAAAAACCGAGACTGCGGAGAAGCATGGCAGTTGTCAGTTAGGTGGAGCCTAGAGAGGTTGCCTACTTACTGGTGGTTACGTTCGGCTGCGCCTCAAGAAGCTTGAGTAAAGGCCTTCATTCTGTGGCGTGGCCAAACCTATAAGCAAGATTTGCCGCTACTTCCGAGTTGAATAAGTCCAGCCTGGAAGCGCTGATGCAAAAGGAACTCTCTGCTATGGCAAGCGATATCCTTCCTTAAGACAACGTAAGAGTTAGCTTCCTCGACTATGGGGGAGTTGCCCTACAGGAACTCATAATATGGGACAGGTCGAGGAGTACCTCGATCTTTGAGGTATTTTTAAGCTTTGAAAACTTCCACGGAGCCATGATATACCCATTTTCAGAAACCTCAGGAGACATTCTCCACTAATCAGAGATAAAAACATTCAAAATGATTTTTGGTCTTTTTCTAGAATAGTTCAAACAAAGTGTCGCAGGACTTTTCGACCAACCTATTGCTGCAACCCAACCCATGCCTATCTCGTCGCAGAGACAGACCACTTAGCGCGATTACAAAAATGTCACATCTACTTCACCTACTGCCTGAGGACCTGTCACATTTCAGAAAATGTTGAGGTAACCACCTT